TCTCAAACCAATTGAAAATCTGTGGTGGAAATTGAAAAAAATGGTCCACAAGAAGGCTCCGACCTGCAAAGGTGTAATGGCAACTGCTAGCAAAGAGAGTTGGCACCAAGCTGATGAAGAATACTGTTTGTAACTCATCAAGCCCATGCCTCAGAGACTGCAAGCCATTATAAAAGACAAAGGTGGTGCAACTAAATACTAGTGATGTATTTTGAATGGTCTTTTGTTTACCAGTTTTTTTACGATCCCGTACTTTCTTCCTCAGAATTGAGTGATTCCATATTTTTTACCTGTGCTTGGTCAATAAAAGTAACATTCACTCACAATGTTTTCTCTTCATTTCTTTGAGTGTTCCTGAAAGCCAACAAGTTGCACTTTGGAATGACCTTATTATTGTTTCATGTTTTTGATCTGAGTTTGTTTTACAGAATGAAATGTCTGAATGAGTGCTCATCCAAGAGTGCTGATTCCATATTTTTTGCCAGGGGTTGTATGTAGGTACATCTAAAAAATCTTCATGATCCTGATGATGTGTCTGTCACCCTAGGTTAAATCTGTGGTAAAATCTTCACAAGATAATTAGATTTTTATGCAACAGTTGAAAACCATTAATGGTATCAAAATACTAATTCAGTCATGTAAAGTTTTGTAAAGATTTAACAATAACAAAAGTCACAACACATTTTTTTTCCAATCAAGTTGCTCATTGTGATATTTTTTTTTATCTGCTTTTGTTAATTTAAAAACTGCAAAAGAAATCCAAAAAAATATGAACCAGAAATTGTAACCAAACTGGAGGAATAACTGGCAAATACTATTAAGGGTGATTTAATTTAATGTACTTACACCCTTAACAATACAGATTTAGGCAAATAAAAATATATTTTGATATTACTGAAAAAAACAATCAAATTTAAAACATGTTTACTAATTACTCTGCCCATGTCGTTATTCAGATAACCAAATGTTGAACTTTGAAATTGGTTTGTTGTGCATCGCACCATTTATTTTACTTTACTTTTTAAAATAAATAAATAAATACACATCTACTGTAACTTTAATCTACTTTTACCTGTGAGAAACGATGAATCATCCGTCAGAAATTCTCAGTTGCAACTGCAGGTTGAGACAAATAAAACTCAAATGCTTTAAAAAAAACGGCACATATACTGTCAGAATACATACAATTCCAATTAGAGCCAAAGCTAAGATTGCCATCAAAATAAAATCATCCTGTCTCTGAATGTTTTAAGTTTTTACATGATGGTTTCTGACAGGCTTCTGCTGTAGCCTCCTTATCTCCAGAGTTCAGTGAGCTGCTTTGAATGAGGCCTGGATGTGCAGAACTTCCTCCACTGCAGGTTTACATGGATCCTTCTCTGTTTATTGATGGCATTGATGGCATTTGCATGCAAAGCTGATGTCAATACCGCAGCAAATCTTATCTTTAAATATTCCTGTTTATTTATGTGGCTTTATAGACAGTTCGTTTGAAATGAACAGTGCATGGAAATTTATGTAAATGTATGAAAGTCATTTAAACCAAGAAGGAAGTATAACATCCCGACACAAATGAAAACAGAAAAATAAATAAATAGCCCAGTTGATATCACTGTGGCACCGTTAGGTTTTTGTTAGTCTTGGGCTCATTGGATCCTGCAGGTCTAATCCTGCATCACAAAGTGGTTCTGACCTTTTGTAGATGTGGATTTACTTGAGATCATACAAACATGTACCTTTGATCTCTGCCTAAACCATCTGTTTGCCACCTGTCATACAACTCTCTATGATCAAACTGCACTTTCTAGTTTATTGTAAATATATTCACTTTAATTTTTCTGTTATAATATCCTGTTTTATTTATATTATAAACTAGATTTATATCTTACGACAGAGTATTAGGGCCACATGAGATTTTTTTTTTCAGTTGTATAAAAATAAAGTCATAATATTATAAGAATAAAGTCATAATATTATGACATTTAAGTCGTATAAAAATAAAGTCATAATATTACAAGAAAAAGTCATAATATTCCAGCCCTTACATGAAAAAGCATGCAGTTACCACTGCATTAAAATGAGGAATGTTGACCAACTTGTCAAGTTGTTCTTTAGTATTGCTTAAAATAGTTAATCTTTTAGCACATTAGCATCAAACTATCAGACTTGCAAATTGTGCAAATGTCTATAAACTATAGGCCGTATTGTAATTTATGGATGCATTGACAGATTTAGTCACGTAGCTAATTTGGATGAAAACATATTAATCTAACAGTGACCCAAGTCATCACAGACTACTTTATAAACAGACACATGACTGTACACAGGGGTGGAGAAAATAAGGAGGGAATGAGGAATGGAAAATTGACACGTCATATAAGATTATGACTTTAATTTCATAATATTACGACTTTATTTTCATAATATTACGACTTTATTTTTATAAGACGTTACTGTCGTAATATTATGACTTTATTCTTGTAATTTAAAAAACAATCTTGTTGTGTGGCCCTAATACTCTGTCGTAATATCTGATAAAGCTGTTCAAACAGATAAACTTTATAGTTTTTTTGCAAATATTTATTCATTTTAAACTTGATGGCTGCATCAACATTGGAATTGGGGTTGTATGATCTGAGACACACCACTAAAAGCTTCGTTTTAAATTATTTTAAGTGAAAACATGTCAGTAAATAGTTTTTTAAGCTCCAACTGATCTCTCTTTAGTTAATTTTTCCCCACAGAAAACTGTGCCTGCTTACAGTATGTGGCCTAGAAAAAAGGTCAATATGTTTTATAATATATATAATAATTTAATAATAAATTTGATAATGACCTTTTTTGTTAGAGAAAGAATTATGCACTGTGGTCACTGAAATCACTTCAAACTGACCAAAGTAATAAAAAGAGAGACTACTGGAAAACCAACTAATGACCAAAGACTTTATCATCCATCTTTAAGTTGGGAGTGTTGAAATTAACGTGTTTGCGGCACTTTTAACTGTGCAGGATTTAGAGCTGATCTCAGACACAGTATTAGAACTCACTCCCTCAAGTTTGTGTTTAAAACTTATTTGCACACACGTAAAACATAATAGTAACACGTAATGGATCAACACAGCTGCACCTGAGTGCTTAATTAGTAGGCCTCCTCAGCATGCCATCAAGGTCTGCGGAGGCCTACTAATTAGGTACTTCTTAGCTGTGTTGAACCAGGGCAGCTCCTAAAACATGCAGGGCACCGACCCCTGAACACCACTGTACTAGACCATTTCACATTTAACTGGTTCTCCTTAAACCACTGGAGTGTTGCTTCAGCAGTGTGTTCAGGGTCACTGTCCTGCTGACAGGTTTGTGCTCCATCCACCTTTAACTCTGACCAGTTTAACACTTCCTGCTGATAAAAAACACCCACAGTATGATGTTTCCACCACCATGCTTCATTGATGTTTGGTTTCATCTGACTGCAGCACCGTATTCATCTGGTTTGAGCAAGAAAAACCACACCGTGCAGCTTTTATTTTGTTAAATTCATGTATTTTTCCTGTCACTCAGCTCTATCAGGGTTATCTTTGGCCTCCTGGATGTTTCTTTGATTGATACCTTCCTTACCTGCCCCTTAAAGTGTATCTTACCCCCTGTGAAAAGATAACTCCGCCCCAAGGCGAAATTTGAAAAATGC